GGAGCAGCAATCATACCTGCAAAATTTCTCATACAGAAACTGTGGGTAGATAAGTTTGATTGGGACGACAAGGTAAGTGAGGCTCTGGAAGAAGAATGGTTAAGTATAAGGAAGAGTTTTCAAAAGCTAAAAGAAATTAAAATTAAAAAATGACTGCATACTAAGAATACGGAGAGGAATGCAATAAATCTTCATGGCTTTTGTAACGCTTCTGACAAGGGTTACTACGCTGTTGTGTACTGCAGATCTGAAACAGAAAAAGGAGAAATTAATATAGGAATCGTTGCTTCCAAAACACGAGTAGCACCTGTTAAACCTGTTTGTATACCGCGATTGGAGTTGCAGGGCGCTGTCTTATTAGCAAAGCTGCTTACACAAGTCAGAGAAGCTATGAGGATACCAGTCAACCATGTTTTTGCTTGGACGGATTCTTCAGTAGTTCTATCTTGGCTGTTTGGAGATCCAAATAGATGGAAACCATTTGTGAGCAATCGAGTTATAGAAATCTTAGACAATATTTGTAACACTCAATGGTTCCATGTAGCGTCAAAGGAAAACCCCGCAGACATTGGTTCACGGGGAGCCAATCTAGAGCAATTATTAAACAATGAGTTATGATGGAAAGGGCCAGTGTGGCTGAAGGAAAAAGAAATCAAATTTTACAGACCAAACATAATTCCAACCGAAATAGAGAGGAAGAAGACATTACAAGTAAATTTAATAATTGATAAAAATAAGGAAGAGAACAAAGAGATAAAGTTTGATAATTTTAATACTTTACAAGAATTACTCAAAACTATAACTCAGTGCAAACGATTTATCAACAGTAAAAAAAATCCAGAGAAAATAAATATTCCAATAACAACAGAAGAATTAGAAGATGCTTTACTAACATGTGTGAGGATAAATCAAAAAGAATAAGAGATTTCGAAGAAGAAATTAATAGATTGAGAGCGAAGAAATACCTAAAAAGGTCTAGTCGGCTGAAATCGTTAAATACTTACCTTGATGACAAAAATATTCTCAGGGTGGGCGGGCGTTTGCAAAATTCAGACTTACCAGAAGATAGAAAACATCTGATAATCCTGGGAACCAACAATCATTTGACAACATTAATCATAGCAGAAGCTCACCAGAAAACCCTACATGGAGGAATTTAACTGATGCTGTGCTATCTCAGATCAAAATATTGGATAATCAGAGCTAAAAATGCTGTAAAGGCTTACGTCCATAAATGTATTGTTTGTGCTCGGCAGAAGGCCATTACCAGAACACAAGTAATGGGTGACTTACCGCGAGTTCGTACAACACCAACACGTCCATTTCTTCATAGCGGAGTGGATTTTGCTGGACCTCTGCAAATTCTTGTATCCAGGGGCAGAGGAACCAAAACAAGAAAGGCTTATATAGCAATTTTTATTTGCATGTCCACAAACGCCATTCATTTAGAATTGGTTGGGGACCTGACTTCCGAATCATTTATTGGTGCATTTCGACGATTCACAGCCAGAAGAGGCAAATGCGCTCACCTATGGAGCGATCAAGGAAGAAACTTTGTGGGTGCTAATAAAGAATTAGCAGCTGCATGGTCCCAAGCTAAATTCGAATTGCCAGGTCATTTGGCAGAGGAGTTAGCAACAGACTCAACTCAGTGTCATTTTATACCGCCATATAGCCCCAAATTTGGAGGATTGTGGGAGGCAGGGGTCAGATCAATCAAATATCACCTAAGAAGAATACTCACTTCCAATCTTACCTTCGAAGAAATGACGACCACACTCTGTCAAATTGAGGCATGTCTAAATTCGAGGCCTCTTTCTCCCATAGAAACTTCTGATCCTGACGCATTAGAAGCATTAACACCTGGACACTTTTTAATAGGCGAAGCACCTCTTACTGTACCATTTCCTGACCTACGTCTCGTAAAAATTACTAATTTATCTCGCTGGCAACTGACACAAAGGCTCGTGAGAGACTTCTGGCACAGGTGGCTAACAGAATATCTTTCAAGACTTCAGGAACGTAGTAAATGGCTAAAATGCGAACCAGAGTTCGAGGTCGGAGATATCGTTCTACTTAAGGATGATCAACTTCCGCCAGGGAAGTGGTCTCTCGGTCGCATTGTACAAAAGCATCCCGGTCCTGATGGCATGACGCCAGTGTACAGCGTCAAGTGTCGCAGCGACACAATAAAGCGATCTGTTTCCAAATTATGTGCATTGCCTATTGATAAGACATAAATTAATTAGAGATATTTACAATTGCATTAGATTAAAGCTATATTATCTGATTTGCATGCTTGCTTAAAGTACATTAGTATAATTTTTTCGATTTTGCTTTTTCGATCTTTGTGATTTTGTCTCCGAATTTAAGTAAATTACTCTGTAATTGTGTTAAATTTTTAAATTCATTGTTTAGAAAGAACTATCGTCCTTTGGTGGGCGGCATGTTGAGATTTGTATACGTAAACACCTATTATGTTACTATTCAATTTATCGATTTGTAATAACAACCAGTCGCAATACAGATGTCACACAAAACACGCGTTTCTTCATTTCGTTAACGAGCCACAAGCAAAAGAAAACCTTAATTCCTTAACAGCGGCATTATGGTTAAAGTAGCAATCTTTACCAGGCAACCTCCTTTTTCTTGCCTCGCAAGCGGGGGAGAGGGATTGAAATCTGCATGGATACCCTACAGCCAGCTGTAGGATTATGTCAAACTCTAAAACATAAGGGCCACTCAGGCTTCATCTGATACGTTCATTCCCTGAGAAGGAAATGATGCCGGTTTTTCTTTCCAACTTTCTACAGTCAGTCAAAATTGATATATATCTCAGTTCGTCAAACAAAAGACAATGCCGGAAATTGGCGCCTTTTTTTCGCGCGGCCATTGACCAAACCTTGATATTTAGGTAGAGGATAATGTAACAAACAAAACTTATTATGCCATGTATATCGCTAAACTCAGTCCGAGTTGAGTTATAAAGGTTAGAAGAGAAAAAAATATTTCTTTTTTTTGCGCAGATGTTGGTCAAACCTTGTTATTTGGGTATAGACGAATGTAACAACCAAACTTATTATGCCATGTATATCGGTAAACTCAGTCCGAGCTGAGCTATAAAGGTTAGATAAGAAAAAAATATTTCTTTTTTTGCGCAGATGTTGGTCAAACCTTGTTATTTGGGTATAGACTAAAGTAACAAACAAAACTTATTATGCCATGTATGTATATCGCTTAACTCAGCCCGGGCTGAGCTATATAGGTTAGAAAGAAAAACATTTTTTTTCCGCGCTGATTTTGATCAAACCTTATTAAACGGTATAGAATAATGTTACAAACAAAACTTAGTATGCCTATATAGCTTAACTTAATTCGAGCTGAGTTATGAAGATTAAAAGTAGATATATGTTGTTTTCGCGCGGTTGTTGAGCAAACCTTGACAAATGGGTACAAAATAACGTAACAAGCAAAACTTATTATATTTATTATAACATATGCGCGGTCTGGCTTTGTTGTTTGACTTGAGACAGAGACTACCGATACTTACCTCTTGTTAACACTTCGTAGTCGGTTAACAGGCCCGCAGTTACTATGAAGAACACATAAAAATAAATGGGTTTTACAGGATTGAAGTGTGTAGGGAACAACATCTACATGATCTGAGACGATATAATATTATGGCATCTAACTCATGGCTATTGAGAGGACGAATCCAGTCACGCCACAGACAAGCTAAAACTTATTACACTTACGTTTTAATAGAAGAGGGTATGCAAGGCATACAGGCGATACACGCTCATTACTGCAGCTGCGTCGTGGGTAAACGCACTCTGGGGTGTTGTTCACATACCATGTCAATTATATGGTATTCAGGGTACGGAAGACATCAAGAAAATCTAACCCCACCCGCTATTTTACTAGATGATATAATGATGAAATAATTCGACACGATGTTGAAAACGAAGCCGATGAATCATCTGATGACGAATTGTAATATTATGCTGTGCAATATATTAAAAAAAAATTAAATATATGATAATTTTCTTTTGTATCACAGAATTTTATTTGCAACTCAAACCTCGTAAAGTATTATGCGTAGGTACTGAATAATGCTTAGTAGTGTAAGTAAACGGAAAAACGAGACCATTACATGATTTTGTTTTTCTCCTGACCTTTAGAGACTGAACTCGTACCGAGTTTAGCTATATACATGCCAGAATTTCTGTATGTTACTTTATTTTGTATCCAAATAATAAGACTTGCTTAGTAACCACACAAAAAAAAATGAACATTAAAGATCTTCCTTCTAACCACACCTAACCCTTCTCGAACTGAGTGTAGCGGTCGATATATATGCCATTATTTTTACATTATTTCATAACGTGCAAGGTTTGCTTATAGCCACGCCCCGGGTTTTTTTTTCATATCTTCAGAACACAGCTCAGACCTCAGACCAATGATATTTTTTTTTAGTTTATAATCAACTCAGACTGAGTTTAAAACTATAAAATAATGTATTTGTCATAATAAGTTTTATTTGTTACGTTATTCTGTACCTAAATAACAGGATTTGGATAACAACTGAACAAAAAATCAATGTAAATATCTACGCGCAAAAAAAATCTCTTCTAATCTATTGACTCACCTCGGACTGAGTTTAGAGATATACATGGCATAATAAGTTTTGTTGTTACGATATTCCATACCCAAATAACAAGGTTTGACGAACATCTACGCAAAAAAAAGATTTTTTTTTCTCTTCTAACCTTTATAACTCAGCTCGGACTGAGTTAAGTGATATACATGGTATAATAAGTTAAGGCCGCGCGAAAAAAAAGGCACCACCTTCCATACAAAATCCGGCATTTTCCTTTAATGCATGACAAAGTGGCATCTACTCCTGTCACAAAAAAGCAACAGCGTCTACTTTAATAAAACTTAATTGTTAGTAAGTTACAGTCCAGTGGCAGACGGACGGGCAAAGGAGGTTGTCCCTGTAGCTACCAAATGCTCAAGGAGATTTTTGCCCTACAAATCATTACGAGATATGTGAGAGTTGATCGCGAACTTGTAACAGCATCAACTTCCAGACACTGTTTTCGAACTCAATTTAAACTTGTATGTACGTGTAACAAGACATCAGGTCATGAAAATACAGCTGATATGGAAGAGAAAAACCTTGTAAAGAAGCACAAGGTTTTTCTTTCTAAAAAGTAGAGCCAACGGCATACAGACATATAGACTATACAGTCAACTATAAACTACATACATACGCATAGTCAAGTTAGCATACCCTAATAAACAAACTATTATATTATGAAGTAAGGTTTATTTTATTGCTAAAAAGTATGTAAAGATATTAACAATTATAATAAAAGCGAGCAAAAACTTGTGGAATCTCATTGAATGTACATAAGAACTGGAGGACATTAACGAACAACAACAATCTTTGATAACGGAATCGCCATAATAAACTTTCAAATCATTCAATATTTTTTTTATTGTCCTATCTTTTAGAACTAGTTTTCTGCCTTCGTCCCCTTTGCCTGTATGTTCGTTTGGTGAACATTTTTCAGTCTTCGTGCCATAATCTTTTTCTTCATATTTGTTTGTATAAAATTCTAAAATTTCGTGCTGGTTTTGATTAGTGACCTTATCATCATATACGTAGTCCTCTTTAAGATTATCACTATCATCTTCATAACTTTCATCTTTTAGTACTTCTTTTTCATTATTGTAATATAAATTATCATTTATATTTGGTTTGGTAGTTTTCCTATGATTAAACTTTCTTGGTAGTTTTAATTCATTCAAAACTTCTGGATGATAGTATAACACATTAGATGGTTGAGTTATACCGATAAAGAATGGTTGATATGTGACGTAATATGCTGTAGAATATAATGTTTCACCCTGTGTGCATTCTTTATGAGTGCATAAACTAGAAATACCTTGAGTACATAAGTGTAAACTAGACTGTGTGCATATGTGTGAACTACCCTGTGTGCATAAATGAGAATTACCTTGTGTGCATGAATGCGAATTAGTCTGATCATGTAGCCTCATGCTATTGGTGCTTAAGCTAGACGACTTTCGTTTACTCAAATCTCCACTTTGAGTACAAATATATTGACCGCCAGATCGTAGATGAGGAGTACATGTTACACCTGTTAAAGGATTCTTCATACACGTACATATTTTTGATCCCTGATATAAATAAATGGGAGTACCGAAACGGGATGTTACTTCAGGCAAACTCCTCGGCTCAAGGACTTTATTATTTTCTTCTGGTTTATTATCGTCTTTGAGCTGTTCGTTGCTCAAGCTTTCATTGTAATTACTGGCTGTACTACGATTGAATTCTGATCTAAATTTATTAATAGGCCATTGTTGTTTCACCTCTAGAGTCGGAGTAGGCACATAACTTTTAGATAATATAGCAATAGTAGATGTTTTTATATCTTGATCAAAGAAATGTTGTTTAATTGATAACATTTCATCTGATAACATCTTGTCGAACACATTAGACTTTAAGTTTGGACTCTGCGTTTTAGTCAGATTTTTAATGATTTCAAATAGTGGAACATGTTTTCTAAAACTTGTTTCATCTTTTGGCGTGTAATCTGTAATATAATATTGTAAGTAGTATTGTCATACAAATAAAATACCTACACTTTAATGCAATTATCTCAAAATTAATAAATTCATATTCCACATGTTCAAGTTAACACATTACCTTCACTTTTCCATTTTCTCTGTGTGTTCGTAGAAAAACTTAAGTCTCTAGTTTTAATTTTATCTCTAATAGCAAGGCTACTTAAGCTGTCCAGAGAAAATATAAATAAGACTATTTGAATAGTAAAAAACATAACAAAATAATCCCCATTTTAACCACCGGACATTTAAAGAGACACATTTAACGTAATCTGGGTAGCCATGCATGGTAGTCTCATTTCATTTGTATCCATGTCATGATTTAATTTTGATCTAATTTATGTTTGATATATTTTATGATTTATTATGATAAATGTGAAATTAGTTGTATTAACTCTTTGTTTTGGTTTTGTTTTAAGCTCTTATAGTTATTGTAAAATATGTTCTAACCATACCCTTTGCAAATACACAGTAAGTTAAATATTTTATATATTTAGGTTCATTTCTCTCGCTAAAATTCGAGAACGGCTGGGCAGATTTAGCAGTTTTTAGTTATGAAATGTTTGTCGTATTCCAGGGAAGGTTTTTAAACGATGAGAAAATATAGACAAAATACGAAGAAGATACAAACATTTTGAAACATCCAGTTTCATCTATTTTAGCGAAGAAAGAGTTCAAAGGCAGAAACAGACATGAAACGCGACGCCACGCTACGCGTCTTGAGTCCAATCAAAATTTACTATTTTCTATGATCAGAATCGCATTAGTAGAATCTGTGCGGAAAGAGAGTGGGCGTGGCGAAAAACGGAACATTAAGATTTTTATTTGGCAATCAAACCCAGCAATCTGTAAAACGTCAAAGTTTTGTATTGATACGGATTTGTTTGTTGTTGTATTTAATCATGTCTAAAAGGTGTAAAACCTTACAAATACAGTAGAAAAGCACTAGAGCCCCCTCCAATCTAAATCCCATTCTCTTTCCGCACAGACTCTAACATCCGAGGCGACGCGATGCGCCATAGAAAATACGCCTAGCGTAGCGTGATGGAGTCGCGTTTTATAAGTCTATTTCTGCCTTTAATATCGTCAAGATAGGTGATAAAGTACACCGGGGTCATCTAGTCGTACATAAGTGTCACACTATATACTTACCATCCCTTAATTAATTTCACATTAAATTTTTAATTTTTTCAGATGTCTGGTCCAAGTATGTCTTGTAAAGAATATGACGCGAGCATTCTACTCACGAAGGATGATATAATAAATATAGTTGACAAAATCAATGAACGAAGACACTTTGTCGCTACTGGTCTGACAAAACTGCTTCCCCTGGCTGCCAATATGAACAAAATTGTAAGAAAAATCAAATTTTAATAATTATACGCTACTCATTACATGAAACACCATTTTGAACGAATTAATAATAGTGAAATGTATCAAATTGTTGTGTAAACATAGAGTAAATTATAAATATTATTTTCCTGTTTTATAAGTATTTTCTTTTTAAAAATCATTTTTCAGTAAGTTTTCCTCAGGGAATAACATATTTAACGTAATTTCATATTTGTTTCTTAGGTTTTCACGCACATCACTCATTAAATAAAACTAGTTTTTACGGGTTAATGCACGAAACTTTATTTATTTATTGACGTTTCGCAGCCTTTTCAGGTCTGCATCGTCAGAATAACCAGTAATAATAATAAATTATTCTGACGATGCAGACCTGAAAAGGCTGCGAAACGTCAATAAATAAATAAAGTTTCGTGCATTAACCCGTAATTTCATATTGTTTTTCGAGGGCAGCTGTCGCGACCTTTTGACGGCAGTCGATGAATCGTCATCGGCCGTACGTCGCCGACAAGCCGTCAGCACTCGCTTGATGGACTGCAGCCATGGCCACCTTATGACGGCAGCCGTTGATCGAGTGCCGTCGGCTACGAGCCGCTCGTTTTTATGAAGTCTTAATCGCAGAAAATATGAAATTACATTAAATATGTTATTCGCTAAGCTAAATTTTGAGTTACCCGAGAAACTTACGTGCAAAGTGCGAACAGTTATCTATACTTCTATACTAATATTACAAAGAGGAAAGATTTGATTGTTTTTTTCTTAAATTGAATAGGTTCCGAAACTACTGAACCGATTTGAAAAATTCTTTTACATTTAGAATTTTACATTATTCCTGATGAACATAGACTATAGAGTATTTTCAAAAAAAATGGTGTTCCGTATGAAAATCTTGATTATGTAACCCAATGTGTGAAAAAAAATGCAAATAAATAACCTTATATCGCGTACGCCGTGGAAGTCATTGACAATAGAGCAAAGTAATATAATAAAGTTTTATAGAAGACATCAATACGTACAAAATAGTATACAATACAATACTATTATGTCTAACTATTACAGTTATGTCACAAATAGAGGTTCACCTGCGGTTTCACCCAAAAGTAAATAACATGCCTATTATGGAATTATTATGCGTTTAGAGTACGGATATCCTAAAAGTAGAATCAATTAATAACAATTAAAATTGTTTATGTTTCATATCATTTTCCAAAAAAAATAATTTCTTTTTTTTTTTTTCGCGGAAATTTATTTTTTATCGTTGTCTGAATTCGCTGGTAAAGATTTTCAGGTAACTCTAAATTCACGGTGTATAAAACCATTATATATTTTTTATCCTTCTATTGTTTTAAGCGTTGGTCGGAGGAATTAGCTGGATTTGCACAGAGATGGGTGGACCAGTGTGATCCAGCTATAAGCCCTGATAGAGAAGACGAATGCAGGGACTTGGGTAAATCAAACATTTTCAAATATTATAAATTTTACGGACACAATATTAAAAGTAAAACAAAGGCCCGGTTGTATCGTCGTTACTCACCTACGTATTTAAAATTTAAACGCTTGCTTTTTTTATGCTACGATTGGAACGAAGTTCCTTTTCGGAGAGTTTGGCGGATGGGGGCTAGGCGAAAATTTACCATCACAACCTAGCGAAGCAGCTAGCTAGGCAGCTGGGTGGTTAGCTAGATGGCCAGCGAGATGGGCGACCACTGACGACGGGGGTTGTGGACTTGGTTTAAAGTTTTGTTTGGTGAGTAATGGACTGGGAACGTCCGCATTGAGCCCATTCCGCACTGCGACACTTCCGCACTGGCCCCCCACGGCGCTTCCCGAATCGCACGGCGCTTATTCTGCACTCGGTGCATTCCGCTCTGGATCCATTCCATCAGGACCCATTCCGCACTGGGACCAATCAGCAGTGGACGCAGGGCGCATTGTTGAGTAGTGTACCTTTTTTATGGAATAGGGAGATTGGGCCATGACTCGCCACGCGGGCCCAGTGTAGATTGGTTGGTGGAATATAAATATTTTTTGTCACATCTATTCGAAGAGAGCTATTTGCTCTCTGTTAACATGGACCACAATAGTGTTTTGATCCCCAGGGACCTAAACAGCGTTTCAATCCCTAGGGGCTAAAATGATTTGAATTTTGGAATCGGGATATTGTTAGTAAACGTTCCAATTACCAAAGAGATCAATCACGAACATTTTATGAACAAGTCACAGCGTAAACCGCGCGCACGCCTTATTAAAAATAAGTACGCGAAATACATTTTACCATCGTTTAATGAGTATCTTCCTAGTATAGTGAGAACCAAAAATGTGAAGCAATGTTTTATCTACAAAATCCTGCTCTGGATTAAAAAAACGCTCAATGTTAGATCATTATCACTTTGAAACTATAGAAATGATTTAGCGAAAATTTTCTCACATATCTACTTACCAAAATATGTCCGATGATTATAAAAACTGTAATAAAATAGGCTTCCCTATCTGGAGCCGTCGTCCCTACTCTTGCGTTTTTAAAGGAATTCTTCCGCAACTCATCCATCATTTCAGAGGACACGAAGGTCGGCCAAAACATAGCCACCGTGACTGGCCCGACCCCCGGGATGCATATCCAGAGCCTGATTGATATATGGTTCATGATGAGTCTCGACTATAGGGGAAGTACGTCATATTACAATCAGTAAGTTTGTGCGTAATAATCCAACATTTTTAATTGGGATAATTTTATGTTTCATTTTTTCCCCCCACGACAAGTGGCCTTTATTCTTCCGAAAATTTAGGCCCTTTTATCTCCATATCAAAATTTTATTTTAGAAATATTGATAATTATTATGTGTTTTTCAAAATCGATTGAACTGTTTAGGCGTAAAACAAATGGAATCTTATAACAGTAGGTATTTATAATAAATACCTATTACGAACTTAATAAAGCATATTTGTTTTAAAGTAAGTAATAGGCAAGTACTTAGTAATTGAGACACTTGCACCAACATTCCAAATTCAAATTAGGGCTCCTTAAGGCTAAGCACGGCAGCGAGATCGGGTGAAGCCCGCCGCATATGCGGGTAATCGCGCGTGCTCGCAGCCGGTGCGAACAACACCTTATTTCCAATCGAAAAATTATTTCAGGTCAAAGAAATTTCTGATGATATAGGTACACAAATTATTTACTTTCTGCTACTGTAGAATTTTTTCTCAGATAATGCCATCAGAATGTAGAGATCCCAACGACAAAAAGCGTGCCAACTTCTTGACATTGAAAGCTTTTTCGATTGAAAATATGATTACTTTTTCGATATAATATCAAAATAAGGAGTAAAAATAAATATTTTGAAGCTTAAAATTAGATAGTGTATGAAAGGTTTTTTTTTTTTATAGATTTAAATAAAAATAGAACAGTCACTTATTCTGATTTCTCGCAGATATTTTCAGGTTTCGTGAAAAAAACAGAAAATGAAAACTTTTAGATCTTTTTAATCACTTAAAGCTTTGCAATTTTTTCCGATAGGTGTAGTACTTGTCCCCAAAATTGAGATTACTAGATTTAAGGGATATCTAACGAAAATGTAACTGGAAGGAAAATGTTCAAATTATTTTCCTAGTTACTGTTTTTAACTTTTAGTTAATTCGCTCTACCAATCAGTTAATAATAGATATTTGTTATAAATAAATATAACTATTTACATACCAATTTTTTTATACATAATAGTAGAAAGAAGTTACAGTTTCCTTTCCATATTAGCTTCAACCCGACCCAGACAGAAAGTGAACAATGAAACCACACGTTTTGTAATGTAAATTTTTATTGCGTACTAACGTACGAATACATCATGATGCCAACGAGCCAATTACTTATTTCAGGTCTCGCGACTGCAAGACAAATTACTTTACTCAATTAATCTGGGGTGAAACAGACAGAGTGGGCTGCGGCAGAGCCAAGTTCTACGTATGTAATATTCATTTAAACCTTCCTTACCATAAAGCTATTAGACAGTATAAAAATTAAAGTACCAATTATTGGCCTGTGTATTGTAGAAGCGATTTCACTATTAAAAAATATAGTATTTTTAATAACAAATAATTGGGGGCCGTCACAGTTGCAAATTTTAGACCATTTTTGTTACAGGGTCTATCTCAAAATCGAAACTAGTTAAGAATGTTACATTTGGCATAGGATGTCCCTATGTGTGTCCATATGTTAATATGCTGTATTTAAACAACGAATACTGAAAACGCCGATTCATAATGTACTTTGTAAGTTGTGGCGAAACATTAAAATGGGGCGCATGATTTTTTCTTACTAAATATTCGGCTTTAGGGAAGCGTTCTACATAAAATACCAAAATTTCAGTTCTGTAATTAATTTCTTTTATGATTTAGAGATCTGGCGTGACAGAAAGACGACAGAGTGACAGCAATAGGGTTCCATTTTTACCCTCTGTGTGCGAAACCCTCAAAATGGTTTATTACAGTCTTTTAAAAGAAATCGACTTTATTTATCGAACGAACTTTTAAGCATTCTATTATGCCTTTATAAGGAGGCCTACTCCTTCAAAGCACAGTTATACAAAACATAGATTAACAACTTGTTGTCAAATGTACGGTTGCTGAGTTGGCACTATGGAAATGATGTAATTATATTTACTTATCTCTGATAACTCTACATACCACACCTTTGTAGCTATACTAACCACGTTACAAGTAAATCATGTATGTACTCGTTATTAAGTACATACTGATGTTAAAATAAGTAATTAGATTCAATCATGCCAAATCTGCTTATTCCTTAACGTGGTTTCACTAATCTTATGTGTATAGCCAGTGACAATGAAGTTTATTTTGATACAGATTAAAATAAAAAAAAAAAATGGAAAATTTAAAAAACTTGATATCCGTTTTAATTTTTAGTGCACCTAAAATTAAAACGAATATCAAGTTCAGTTGATACAAAGTCACATTAATTGCTAAGATGTTAATTAAAACACTACTGTTATAATAACAATTCACTATTAAGGTGTATCCACAATCACCAGAGCCTTTGCAATAAACCTAGAGAAGTATATGTAGATTTTCTACATCGCCGGGAAAAGATTTGATTTATTCCTCAATCACGTTCGGCTGTTAAACAAAATGTTTTCCTTCATATGATCGTCCACTTATTCAATTCTGAGTAACGAAAATTTTATTACCTTTCCTTTACTGTATATCTAAGCGTTATTCTGCGATAAGTATTCAAACAAACTTGAAGGGGTAAAGTAAAGACAAAGTAAGTTTTTTGTGTAAGGTGTGTGCCATGTGGCGTTCCACCTTAGGGACCGAGTGACAGATGGCACGGCAACACCCTCGAAAAATGCTGTGAAGTAATATATGTGCAAAAGTCAAAAGTTTTAGTGACTTCGTATTTAGCAATTTTTTGAGTTCTCTTATTAAGTAGGTATTAAGATATATTATTATAGCTATTAACGGGATTGTTAACATGTACCTTGTTTTTTATGAATCTCCGGTATTTCAGCATTGTTGCAAGCGCCATGATCACAGAATAACATTCATCAGATCAGTTACTCCGTGATCATGGCACTTGCAACAGTGCCGAAAACTCGTAAAAAACAAGGTACATTGTAACAATCCCGTAAATAGCTGTAATGTTAGTGACCATGAAAGTTTAAAACAATTGAAATGGCCACTCACCAACCAACTCAACCACGGCTACCATAGGGAATACGTCTTTAGATTAAAGATTACTACTGACAATCTCTGTCCATGCGATCAAAAATCTGTCCAATCACTTAACCACTTGATTCGACATTGTCCTCGGTACGCTGCCTCACGAAGCGACTTTCTCATAGTCGCAAACAATTGTCCTGATCCCGACAAAATCCGCCTATTACTTCAGAAAAACACTTAAGTAGAAGCGTATTTCAAGCATGCTTCTTCTGTAATACACACTTAAAGAATTTAATAAATAACATTCTTATATCAAACCTCAAATAAATTAAAACTCTACCTAAAATACACTTAAACAGCATTGCTGAAGCACGGTGTACACCAAAGGATTATTAGATAAAATAGCTCTTTATTAAAAAAAAAACCCTGCTTAGCCGATGGCCATAACGCTGGATTTAGTATATTTTATTGATTCAATTCCCAGCTCTGCTAATGTAGAAAATCCTTAGCTATATTTGTAAAGCCTCGCCTATACATGTTTCGATATCGACGAGTGTTAGGGCCTATGATGTTGTTTAGTATTTAAAATAAATATGTTTCCTTTGACAACAAGAGTTGTGCGACACACAACACAACAATTTTAATGTCGTATATAATAGTATTATACATATCAGCGGATGGTATCAACTTCATTTCGCAGATAATCATTTAGCATTCACTAATTTATCAGAAATTTTTACTCAGTATTTTGTAAGACAGAATCATCTTAAGGCATAAAGGAGAATGCCCATCGTAGTATGGACTGCAGTATCGCTACAAGAAATTTTGTACAAAGATGGTTTTTACCTTTATTTGTATGGTCCTATGTGTAGATTCAATAATGAAATATACTTTTTCTCTAGCTCGACGGGTAATACGAATAATGATATAACAAATATCATTATATTAATAACTAGCTTTAGCCTGCGACTTCGTCCGCGTTTTCGTCGTTTTTCGTAAAAAAGTAGCATATATCCTTCCTCAGGTTTCCGTGGTTTTGATGTGACAGACAGATTAACTTTCGTATTTTAGTAGGGAAATATAATATGTCAATCCACAATACTGTTAAAAATATCGCAATAAGGAACCGCAGAATATTATTATTATCACTGTGCCCCGAGATCATCAGCGTGTAACTCCTTGTATGTTATTATGTTAAAGTATTGGTAATATTGTTTAGATCACTTTCACATGAGGCTTAAGTACATATAGAATGAAAATACTTCAGCGCAAAGCTTCCGGGTAAACTACGTTGAAAGTTGACCCGTCCGGCACGTGAACATAAAGATTTCTAGAACTGCTAACCCGGGAAAGAGCGACATATAACTGACCATGTGAAAAACAACTGACACCGAGATCTACTATAGCAACACGAAAAGTCTGCCCTTGAGCCTTATTTATTGTCATTTCATAACACCGATACTGGGAATTGCGTTCTTTTAAATTGGAATTTTAAAATTATTTGGTATCATGGGAATTCTGGGAATAAAGATGGTTTCTCCTGCACCGCAACCTAATGAAATTTGAGCCTCGATTACATTTTGTTGCAACTGGGTTACTTTAAGCCGAGTTCCATTGCAAAGTTGTGGTGGTCTTAAATTTCGGAGCAGAATAATCGGAATGCCAATTTTTAAACAAATTTCATGAGAAGGAAGTCCGGGCATATTTAAAGAATTTAAAAATTCTATCGGGTAATCAGTGGCTTCTTGTTCATCGGCCATTCTATTTATTGAACTATAAACTTTGCTTTCCTCCTGGATATTCGACAGTATTTTATTATTAATCTCAGATGCCTGGTCATTGCGAGGAGTTAAAATGGACCTTTCGCATAGCCAAGAATTGTCCTTATTTAATATATTTGTTACGTCACCGTAAACTGACGATATAAGATGTTGTTGGGATTGCACTATACAACATAACTCAGGCGTCAGAATAAGTTTTTCTTGGTGTAGCAGTGGATAGGTATCTTTGGTAGCAATAAGAGCAAAAGTCACAAATAAGAGCTTTTCAGGCAAGCCCTAACCTCATCAGCTCGGGTTCCCCGTGGTATTACCGGTAAGGTTTGTCGGAAATCACCACAAAATAAAACTGTGATACCGCCCATTGGTCGATCATTTTGTCTTATATCCCTTAAAGTTCTGTCTACCGCTTCTACTCCTTTTCGATGGGCCATCGTACATTCATCCCTTATGATTAAATTACACTTTGAACGAATATTTAAGCTCTACCAAAACAACTAATACGTGGTCCTAACTTTAGCTACCTTACACTTAAAATCTAAGTGACTATTTAAACTATACTATACTATACAAGTCACAACAAAAAAGAAATGGAAATAAAGCTGAAACGCCTGTGCAATACTATCTACCTATACCTACTTCACTTAAAAATAAATACTTATAACTACTTTAATTAATAAAAGTACCTATGCTTAATAATTTTTAAGTATGGATACCCTACAGCCGGCTGCAATGTTATGTCAAACTCGTACTGACTAAATAACACCCGTAGGGGCTGCCCCTGGCCGGGAAGGCCTCTAAGGCATCATCGGAAGCGATCGTCCCCCAGGGGAGGGAGCGACGCAGAAAACAGATTTAGACAGCTCGCTCTCGGACCTCAGCCTTTTGATACCCTACCGCTGCGCCGCCGCGACCCGTGTCGAGCGCGGCAACCGTTACACAAAAATAATCCTTATAGCATGATTCAGTATTCACGTGCGACGGCGCGATGGCTTATTTCATGTATAAGTTTGGTGTTTCTATACCGATTTCTAAGTTTTTTTTTATTGAATATGTAATAATGTTAACTTTTTTAAATTAGGGATGAGTCAGAGTATTATAAAAGTAAGAGTAAACAAATATGATCAGAATGCTCCGAACTGCTAAGCTATCGGGAGTTACACGTGTTATTGTGAGTCAACCATAAAAGATAGACATATGCTGTTGCGGTATATTTTCTAGAAAATTTTATGTAGAATATTTCCGTCATACATGATTTCTATGTAACTTTAACCATTAAGGCTGCACACGCGATGGAAGAGTAAAAAATGGAGTAACTTCTCCCGTTTTCCCAACATTTCCCTTCACTACTCTGCTCCTGTTGATTGTAGCGTGATGAAAAGTATACTATAACCTGCCCAGGAGTATAAAGAATAATTGTACTAAGTTTCGTTAAAATCCGTTGAGTAGTTTTTGTGTCTATAAGGAACATACACACAGACAGACAGACAGACAAAAATTTTAC